TTAAAAATGTCATGATCCATATTCAAGTAAATCTATTATTTAGAAATATTTTAGCAATTTAAACATGTGAAAATCAGTTAGTCAAGAAAATGTTTATGTAAACGTTTTAAGGAAATGTTTAGAATCTTTGTCGTGTTGTTAAGCATTATTATTTCATAAATTTTTTAGTACAGAAACTATTCCAAAGTTATGGTCATGTGCAAACGCTGTTCCGTTGTTCGAAAAAGGCAATAAATCAAATGCAAGAAATTCCCAGCGGGCATTTTGACGTCCTAAGGACGTCCGTAAGACGTCTCTAGTCTCGTCCGTAAGACATCCTTAGTTGGTCTCAAATGAAAGGCTTGAGGACGTCTATTCCAGACGTCCTAAAGAAGTCGTTTTAAGATGTCCTAAGACGTTTTTTGCACACGTTCTAGAGAAGACTCTGGCTGGTCTCATATCAAAGATTTAAGGACGTTTTTTTCAGACGTCCTAGAGACGTTTGAATTTTACCAAGACATTCTTTTAAAAAAAGTCATATAAAAATGCAATGATTTACAACACACGCCTTAGATTTGCCTTAATCTAGGAAAAGGAAATTATAAAAAGAAATCAATGTAAATAAAGAGTAATTTGATATATTTAAAATAAATTAATAACTTTACAAAAAATAAGAATAATTTTTCAAACAAAGTTAAATTTTTCAAATTAAAATCTAATAGGTACTGTAAAATATAATCGATATTGCATTATAAATAGAAGAAAATTGCTTAGAAATGGAAAAAAAAAATCTAACAGTTAATTAAACCATTATTGATTGAAATCCATATTAGTCGATGTTCTCTTTATTCAGTCAGAAGAATGCCTAATTACTCTCCCAATAAGTTGAATGGCATCCATTTTGGTTAAGTTGTTATTTGACTTTAAAGCAGCTTCTAATAAAAACAACAAAACATGTTTCAATAAGATCATAAAATAAAATATACGTTTCATCTATACATACACTTGAATACCTGTCATGTTCCATAAACAAAAAAATTTAAAAAAAATTTTTTTTAAATTAAAACATCATTTTTAATTTTTAATTAATCAAACACATTAATAAGCTAATAAGAATAACAGTGACAGCGTTACATAGACTTGTCAACTATTTAAACTTTTTTTTCTTAGTTAGACAATTCATGCTGTATTCTGACAAAATAGTGTCTGTTTGCAGTCTGTTTGTGACATAACAGACATATATTAAAAAGAAGATAAATGCTGTACTGTCAATCATAAATGTTAAAATTCAAACTTTTGCTAATTACCTACAAGAGCAAAAGATTTTTAATTGTATCAGCTAGATTTTTACCGCCAATTAATGATAACAGTTTTACCTAAAACGAAACAATGTATAAGAAACATTGAAAATGTTTATGACAATTTAAAATAAATATTGTAATAATATATAACATATAAACTATAAAGATAAAACTCATGTATACAAAAGTCATGTATACATGAAACTCATGTATACAAAATTTTTTTTTCAAAACATTAGGTTTATCTGAACTTTTACGTTGTTTAAAACCTTCTTCTGGATTATTGAAGAACAGTGCAGTTCTATCTACTAAAATTTCTTTCATTTCAGCAAGTTGGAATATAATTTTTTTTTCTGAAACTCTAAAAAGTAAAATATATAAGTGAATATAAATAGTATATAAATAGTATATAAAGTAGTAAATAGTACTTCCTATATATGGTTGAGAAGAGGTAGATTTAACCTGAAAAATGCAAAAAGTCTCAATTTTCATGCAATTTCAAAAATTCTCAAGTTCAAGACAATTATAGGGTTTTTGTCTAACGCCGAAAACTGTCAAGAATCGCTACCTATACACAAACGCACACACACACACACTCTCATATATATATATATATATATATATATATATATATATATATATATATATATATATATATATATATATATATATATATATATATATATATGTATGTATATATATATATATATATATATATATATATATATATATATAATATATATATATATATATATATATATACATATATATATATACATATATATATATATATATATATATATATATATATATATATATATATATATATATATATATATATATATATATATATATATATATATATATGTATATATATTACGATTTTAACCCCTTTAACAAGATTTAGTTAAAATATCGTCATATTACGATATTTTAATTAAATCTTGTTAAAGGGGTTTTATGAAAAGATTGCAATGACGCTCTGTCATCCTCATCTTCTTTGAGCTCCTATCTGTTTTACTTGTTTTTTTAAATTGTATATTATGTAGTGGAATTAGTAAAATTCTTATGTTATGTAAACAGAGAAAAAAAAAAATATATATATTTATATATATATATTTACAGTTTATTTACAGTTACTGTGTTGTTTCATTTAATTTGATGTTTAGTTATTTATATATACATGATTTATACATTATAATGTTTATATGATGCATACATATTCATTATATTATAATATTATAATGTTACTGTGACAGTAACAAGGTGTCAACATAAGTAATAATCTTAATAATTATTTATATATTTATATATATATATATATTTTTTTTTTATTTTTTTTCTCTGTTTACATAACATAAGAATTTTACAAATTCCACTACATAATATATAATTTAAAAAAACAAGTAAAACATATAGGAGCTCGAAGAAGATGAGGATGACAGAACGTCGTTGCAATCTTTTCATAGAACCCCTTTAACAAGATTTAATTAAAATATCGTAATATGACATACAAATTACGTAACAAAATGCGTAATCCGCTAATAAAATTTGTGAAGCAACAAACAAAAGTAAAACAAAACAAAAACGTATTTAGGAGAATTTATCCAATGCATTATTAACAAAAAATGTTTCACAGGTTTTAAAGATTTCTTTTTTCGTTAAAAACTTGAATGAACTTAATGAACTCATCGTACCTTTGAACTCTTTTTGAAAAATATTCCATACTTTTGTACCTCGATATAAAATACTGATTCTGAATATTTATATATTATCTTAAGCAGATTATATGTGTTCAACATATTCGCTCTAAGATTATAGTTATCATTTTTATTTAACTCAAACTTATTATTAAAGCTTATAGAAGAGATATTGTGATTGTAACGATACATGAAAATTAAATGCTGGTAGATATTTATTTCAAATACATTCATCATTTTCATATCTCTCATCAAGGGATTAGCATGTTCACGCCTATTTTTAAAGTAAATGATTCTACAGGCATGTTTCTGAAAACTATAAAGTTTCTTAAGCTTTGCTGTTTGAGTACTTGCCCATGAAATGTTTGCATAGCTGATGAGGCTGTGAATCAGCCGAAAGTAGATTAATTTAAGACTATTTGTATTGATGTACGAGCGAAGTCGATACATTAAACCTATGATTTTGGTAACTTTTGGTTGGATATATATTATATGAGGAAGCCAGGATAATTTTTCATCAACAACGATTCCCGAGAATCTTATATTGGATTACTTTTTAATTAATTTATCGTTTAAAAATAGGTTCGGCAACTTGAGAGGAAGATTTTTTTCTTGTGTTTTTTTATGAAAAAGTATATAGTTTTCTCGTCATTAAGTGAGAGTTTGTATACCTTAAACCAGTTATTTACTTTATTTAGTTCAATATTCATGTTCGCATATAATTTCTTGATATCATTGTTGGTAAGAAATAAATTCGTGTCATCAGCAAACATGACTGAATTAAGTTTTAAGGACGCATTACGGAAGTCATTTATATATATTAAAAAAAGAAGTGGACCAAGAATCGATTCCTGCGGAACTCCACATATGACATTTAACTCTCCAGATTGGAGAGTTAAATGTCCAAAAAAAATGTTAAAAATCCAGTACTTTATCAGTATTTCTTGATTTATCAAAAGCATTTGATACAGTGGTTCGATTTCGTCCTCATCAAACCATTCAGCAAAGGCCTCGTTCTCCTCTATTGCAATTACAGCCATTAACTCTCTTTTGCGCTTGACGGGCCTGATTTGCAAAAAAGTAATAGCCATTTGGTTAATAACATTGGAATGAGTAACGCTGATATGCTTTTTGAGCATGACTTGGGAGGCAAAGTACAAGTTATAAGGCTTGCAGATTCTCTGAGACAAACTTGATTGCACAGAGGGACAAAATAGATTGTAAGGAGGAAGTTTGAATGGTTTCAATGATCGAGGAATGGTGCTCTGAATATTGGAAGCGATAAGAAAAATACAGAAGAAAAACGGTTCTTGCTGGCAATATCTGAAATGGCTACAGCTTTCAAGCCATCTTCTGACTGGCTAATTGGAATAGGTGGAGGCAGAAATTGACCAGGAATAACATGGAAGTAAGAGCTCCTTTTCAAAGCGCAACATCCGGGATCTTCACATTTCACAATAATAATATTAATAGATCGCAATAAAAAACCTGAAAATGAAGGATATACCAATTTCGATGACTTTAGCGTTTCGTGGATTTTCATCTGGTCCACCATCAACACTAAAGACAACTACTGGCTTGACCAACTTGGTAAAAGGATCTTTTGTAATGGAATCGAACTCTGGCAGAGTCAAAAGTCGTTCAAAGTCCAATCCGTGAGCATACGCTGTCGATGATGAATGCTTTCCGGAACGAATAGCAACATAAGTGGGACCGGAATAGGAAACTGCGTCAGATTTTCCAAGCCCATCTGGTTTGATTGCGATACCTGCGTATACGGACGGGATGAGTTTGTGCTTTGCAGCGATGACCCAATCATGATCAGGAAGAGAAACTCGATATTCCATATGCATCAATATAGGAGCTTGTTTGTTGGCAGCAGTGATTCCTATAGGGATCCGAGCTTTATCGTCTTGACTAATAAAGCACACATCCCTTAAGCCCAAAAAAGAGCAAACTTCTTACACATTTTTCATAGTTGCTGTACAAAATGGACCATCCACGTGACTTGAATGGAGGTCATTTTGAGCCTGCATCAACTTGACTTGAACCGTGTGGACGTGTCTCTTTTCTTCAAGCGAATCACTCCGTTTTGGAAGCAAACGAGTATATAAAGCACTTCTGCTAAGATGGTAACCTCTCTTTTCGAGCTCGGCACCAAGCTCATTCAACGATTTAAGGCTCTTTAAAAGTAATTTAAAAAAATTATCAGTAAATAGAGTACAGTGTTTAGAGGCTGAAAAGTTATAATGAGACCTAATATAGTCGAATAGAATTTTTTATTAGCTAAAGTTGTACCCTATACACTTTAGATTGTCTTTTATCGTGGGCAGCAGATCCATGTTCAGCAAGTTGTATGATGACACGTAATATCTCAGATTGTTCTACCTCAATAGTAGATTCCGTCACGTACTTTAAGAGCTTTTTTCACTTCCGGGTGGTCAGCAAACACCTACAGTACCAAAAAAACTATACAAATAATTTTGTTAATGTTTTTAGTTAATGCTCATTTTCTAAAATAATATTATTGTAACTTATTATTATATGATATAAATATTACCTGATTCATGACAGTTTTCTTTTCAGCCCTTGATTTTTGTTTTGACTTCATGTTGCAGATCAACTTGTTAAGATTAGTCGTGAGTTCCTGGACATTGGCCTTCTTCTTTTTAAAGGTTTCTTCTTCAGCATCGGTCCATAAGCCACTTCTATTTTTGCTTTTCATAGCAACTATTTCTTGATTCAAAACAACGATTTCTGCTTTGATTGTGTCTTGAGCATGAGTCTTGGCCTTCTTCGTCTCAATTTGAACTGTGCTTAGGATATCAGGGCGAGAGACATCTGATGTGGTATCAACGATATTTATCGGCTCAATAAGTTGATCTGTATTGGACTGGAACTCTAAAGCGGAATAACTGGAATGGGAAGGAACAGATAGCTTGGTTGTTTGATTGGCCCAAAATGACATTAAACAACCTTTTTGTTTCAATACCATTGAGGTATACTTTTGGATCAAAGTCTTTACTTAATCCTCCAAATCTTTCTTTTCTTTGATCTCATTCAATATTTTATGGACTTTTTTTTTACTATCGGCTTTTTTCTTAAACGGATGTGCATTATTGTACAATTTTATAAGCGAAATTAGAAGATTATTTTTATCCATCCTTTGATATACAGACTGTTGTTTGACACTTTTGAAAAATTAACAAAAAAATATGCTCTATGTAATGATTACTGCATAACCAATTCCCTTTGGACAACCATTTGTAATATTCGCTTTAGACAATCATTAATAATTGCTACACAAGCAATTCCCTTCAGACAAATATTTGCAAAACTGTATTTAAAAATCATAAATGATATCAGTACTATGTTCTTGGGGACAAATTTCGTAAAACGAATTTGAACAAAAACCCGTAGCGCGTAACTAGTGATATATGTGAAACTAGAAACTACCAAGTGTTTAGCAATATATAATTAATTGTAATATATTTATATCGTATCACATATATCACAGGTATATAAACTTTATATATAAAAAAATAATATTTAAATAAATATCAACACGAATTTCTTTCTTTTATTACAACGTAACATTCACTTACGATAACTTTCGAAAAACAAATGTTAACATAAAAATACGTAAAATAAAAAAAGTCTATAAACTGACATCCTTTTCTGATGACCCCTCCTTCTACCCTTTGTCCTTCTTTGTCTTTTTAATCTTGACCCTCTCCCCCCCCCCCTATTTGCATGACGTCCTTTAAAGATGGTTCCTAAGACGTTTGATTGACGTCTGCGCCCGCTGGGTTATAGACTGGTTTCATCATAGTCATGAGAAATAAGATAGTCTCTCTTTGTTTGCATTTTTTTAGTGTCCAGTCCGCCGCAGAGTGCACAAAACTTGTTTTCATCAATTGTTTTTCTATGGATTGCTTGTCTAAATTGCATCTTCTTCATCCAATAGTTTAAATGCCTGGTGCTAATTGCTCTATTTATGGATGCAGTACTTCTCGGAGGCATAATGGAATTTCAATATTTAAAGTTCCTGCATCTAACGATAGTTTTAATACTTCTTGGAGGGAAAATTTAATAGCCATCATTCTAAAGATCGTAGTAAAGATATAAATTTGAAGGCTCAAATAGAAAGAAAGTGTCTGTTTATTTGTGAAAAGCATTATCTCCAGAAATGATACTTCATAACGACAACAGAAAGTCACTAAAACCTGGATCATTACCGACTTTGTGTCTTCCAAAAATAAATTTTATGTCATCAATTCCCATACAAAGGGAATCTGCATCTTCTATTGTTGCTAAAAGAGTTGCTTCAATGATTTCAAATAGTATTATTACCTTTAAACCTATATATAAATCATACGGAGAGTTCCTAAATCGTATTAGTAAGGTAAAGATTTGTGACTGGACAATAAGTGTGAGTCCTGTTGTGGCAGAATTTAAACTTTATGACACAATCCACTTATGTCCTCGATATAAAATATATGTTGATGACAGTCTCGCTTTTACCATTCGTGTATATTCTTGGCTCATTTTAGATGATCATTTAATATATGCAAAATACAGAAGATCAATGCGACATATTTCAGTTTCAAATCTTATTTCTGTTGTTACTTCTTTTACCCTTTGTTTTGGAATAACTGATGTATTTGCTTTAAAATCAAATCTTTATATTAAACATTGTATTTCAAAAAAGTTTGATTTATTTTCATCTAGGAGTAATTTTCCCTTAAATCAGACAGAATATTTTCGATCTCAATCATGTATTATGCTGATTGAGTCAATGTTATGCTGTTCTCAATGCAAAAGGATTGAAAAAAGTGAAATCATAAGTTTGAAAAAAAATGTTGCCAATGCTTGTATCCCTGCTAAATTAAATGCACCAATTAAATTTATATCTCCAGATCGTCTGCAGCTTACATTACAGAGTGTTCGTCTGGAAAATAAAGAATTAAAAAAGAATTAACTTTGATGAAGCAGGAGATTGAAAATTCATCATTATCTATAAGTAAAGGTATTGAAAATAATGACAGGAGCTGATAAAAGCAAAATTTCTCCATTTATGAGCCTCTTTTGGGAAGAGCAGCAAAAATATTTAAAAAGCTCAAAGCAAGGGATTCGCTATCACCCAGCAATAATACGTTACTGTTTGGGGTTAGCTGCAAAACCACCAGCTGCTTATGAAGCAGTACTGTTAAATGAGAAAAATGAGATTCTGGTTTCTTAGTTTTACCAAGTCATAGGCAGTTGCGTGACTATAAAAGTTATGTGAAGCCAAAGTTGGGGTTTAATAAAAATATAATAAAAGAATTAAAAGATAAAGTCGAACATTTTTCAGCTCAAGAAAAATTTATTGTCCTAGTTCTTGATGAAATGAAAAATTCAAGAAAATCTTGTTTGGGATAAACATTCTGGAGAATCAATTAGTTATGTTGATTTGGGCGATCCTGTTGTTAATTTTGAAACATTACAACAGGCTGACCATCATGCTTCTCATGTATTAGTTTTCTTAATAAGAAGTATTGTAAATCCTTTCAAATATAGTTTTGAAAACTTCCCTACTGTAAGTATTACATTAGTGCAATTATTTTCTTTATTTTGGAAAGCTGTAGGCATTTTAGAAATCTCTGTTGGCCTAAAAGTAGTTGCAGTTACTTGATGATGGAGCATCATCGAATAAAACATTTTTTAAAACGCATTTTGATCTGAATGAAAAAGTAGATAACAATGGTCATGTTGATGTGACCTACCACACTGAAAACTTATTTGCTGATGATGGTGATAAAAGATTTATTTATTTTATTTCTGATGTCCCTCATTTAATTAAAACAGCAAGGAACAGCCTTTATCATTCTGGAGCATCAAATGATAAAAAAAGTTGATTTTTGAATCAATTTAATAAAAAAACTCTCAGATGTCTCCTTGTACTGCTGATAACAAATAATTTTTGCATGAAAACAGCTATTTTCATAGCCAAAAATCTTTTAAAAAACTTTAAATGGCATAAAATATTGATTAGTTAATTGAGAAATAGTTTGTTTAAATAATAAATGAAAAAGTTTATTTTGCAGACTTACTTTTTTGTTTGTTTTACTTTTGTTACAATGTAAACAAGCACCTAGCTCATGAAATTTGGTTTAGGATCCTCTAAACTTAGAAAAAAAGGCTCCTAAATTTGCAGCCTTACCCCCTACTTGGGAGCATGGGAAAGTCTATTTATGTGTAATGGTTAGATCACTTGAATTAGATGCTATAGATCTGAGGTTCAATGCCTACTCTGAGCATATTATCTGTAAAGTAAGAAACCTTAACAGAACCTCTTATTTGACACCTATTCAATTGGGTATATGGTGTCATAATTTAATCTTGATCCAGTTCAGCTAGGAGCCTCCTTTATATATATGATCTTGCAAGAGAGGGCTAGAATTTTTCTACATAAAAATATAATATTTTTCTAAGAATATAAATTCAAATTTTCAGTCCTAATTTCATTTAAAGTTTTGAATTTGATGAAAATGACTGCACATAAACTTTTTTGTTTTAAACATATTTCGATATAATTATATACTTACAATATTTCGCTGACTGATATTTAAAACAATAAAGCTCATATGCAGTCATTTTTTATCAAATTCAACATATATAAATGTCATATAACAAGAATTTAAAAGATTTATAGTTTATCATATCAACCTGGGCCTCAAAAAAAGCAATAATTTTAAATAAAAGCAAACTGCTTAATTTTTTTTTTAAACAAAAATTGTGGCTCTTTTGAGACTTAGGTTAATATACTTTTGAAGAAAAAAAAATTCACTGGGACCCAAAGTGTAATCAAGGGTCATGGTGGGTGATCTCAAATAATAAATAAAACCAATGACTTGTCAGATACTTTCAAACCAAAGTTCATCTATTTTATATACAGGAAACTGGAGATACCAAAAATTTACCCTAAAGTCAACAGCCTAATATATATATATACATATATATATATATATATATATATATATATATATATATATATATATATATATATATATATATATATATATATATATATATATATATATATATATATATATATATATATATATATATATATATATATATATATATATATATATATATATAATGTTATGTAATATCAGGAATCAGAGCAGAAAGTTAGTCTGAAAATATTTGTTTATTATTTATTCAGAACTGTGTGTTTATTATAATTTTGTACTACATTTTGATAAGGGTTTTTTGAGGTTAAGGTCTTTGTTGTATGTCATTAATAATTAGCGTGCTAATTATTGACAAAAGTCACAAGTTGTGATTTTCTATTATTATAACGTTTTTTTTATTAATTATTGACAAGAGTCACAAGTTGTATTATATGCTATATGTATATAAAGCAAACAATTTTTTTTGTAAATGTCAACTTTGTATATAAGTAAAAGAAAACGTTAACAACAAAAAAGATGGCTTTTAAATGTGTCGAACAGCAAGCTAACCGGGCATGTCTATTACCTCCGCAATATGAAGATGGACAGCCAAAGCGATTAATTCGATAGATGACTTCCTTCTTTGCAATAAACAATATAACTTCAGATCAACACGTAGCGTTTTTGCTTGCCGCTCTGCCGTTAAAGACTTGCAAGACCATGGAAGAATTAACAGCACCGGAAGTTCCAGAGGATGTTTCGTACGAAGAATTGGTAACAAAATTGGAAACGTTGGAAATAAAAAAATCATCGTTAATCTCACGGTATGAGTTTGGAAAAATTTACCGAGGTACTGAAGAATCTATACAGACGTTCGCGCATCGTGTGATTCGAGCAGCTCAAGACTGCAAGTTCTTGCCCTCAGAGAGAGACGACCGACTTCGTGACCAATTCATAATTGGCATTAATGATGGTGCCATTCTGCGTGCCATTCTTTGGGGAGACGATGCATTGAGCTTTGACGATTGTGTCAAGACTGCATCCGTGGTTGCACAAA